CAGCCCCCCACACTCCCCCCACCCAGCACCTCACCCTGGCAGGGCTCCCGCCAGATCCCACCTTCCTCTGTGCCCACCCCCTCCAGGCAGCCCTCCTGGGTCAGCTTTAGGAAATTCCTCCCGGGTGCCCTGGCCCCAGCCCCAGCCCCAGCCCCAGAGAGGTGCTCCGCTCCAGAGCACAAGTCAGCGGGCTTCAGGACTCACAACTTCTCCCCCGCCAGACCAAGATCAAGTTCCTAGGGGCAGGGAGGAGCTTGGGTCCAGGCTGCACACAGGAGGTGCTCAGAACAATGCCAGGCGAAAGGAAGGAGGAAGGAGAGGCCATGCCATGAAATCTGGTTTAAACATTGACACATGGGTGGGATTCAAGGCTCCCCTTACCCCCCCCTCGCCCCCGCCCCCCAGGTTCTCTGAGCAGGGAGAGACCTGAAGGGGTGCCCAGACCCCAGGAGGTCCCCAGCTATAACCAACAGGCACAGCGGCGGGTTTCAGCAGAGTGAGGGGAGTTCTGGGCGCGCGCGCACGTGCGGTTCTCAGGGGTCACACGCCATCCTGGGGGGTCAGTGGCATCCAGGGCGGAGCACAGGTGCACTTGGAGGGCACTAGGTAAAGGGAGATCTGGACTAGAAGCCCGGGAAGTTTCCCAAGCCATAACTCAGGCACCCCTAAAGCCTCCTTTCGTCTTCAGGGTTGTGATACTGTGAGTTACGGAGGAGGGTTTAACCGGCCTGTTTCTCGGCCAAGGTCAGGGACCCACTTGTCCCCCTCCTCAGACAATGTGTCTGAGCTGAGGCCACATCCCACCACGTCTCACGGAGAAAAACAAAAGCCAGGAAAAGGTGGCCTCAGGGTGAGCAAGTCAGGAGAGTGAGCCTGGCGTATGAGGGGAAAGGAGGAGTCCACGGAGGCGTCTTTCCTGCCCTCCTGCCGTCAGAGTGAGCCGAGAGCTCTGGAAAGGTCTTTCGTTAGTCATGCCTCATAAATTCAGAGATATGAAGCTTTGCCTTCGAAATCCAATTTTACTTGAAACAACACGGCCAAGGTAAGGCTCTCTAAAGGATTTACTGTGCTTTTTAGATGATATCAAAAAAAAAAAAGGGGGAAAATAAAATCTCAAGACTTGCATCTTGCTCATCAGTGCCTAAGGAATGTTCCAGGGGATGGAATGATAGTACAGCGGGTAGGGTGTTTGCCTTGCACACAGCCGACCCAGGTTCGATCCCCAGCATCCCATATGGTCCCCCGAGCACCACCAGGAGTAATTCCTGAGTGCAGAGCCAGAAGTAACCCCTGAACATCGCCGGGTGTGATCCAAAAAGCCAAAAAAATAAAAGAAAAAAAGAAATGTTCCACCTGTCAGAGTGATCTTAAAGCCCAGGCACCAGGTTCCAGTGTGTGTGTGCTCACTTGTATGCGTGCCTGTGACTATTTGTGCATGCACGTGGACTTGTGTTTGTGGGGGAAGGTGCTAAGGTAGAAACACTTCCCTCCCTTGAGACAAGTAGCATTGAGAGCCCCACATAGGGCGTCTTCCACGCTCCAGTGCCTCCTAGACAATTACCTTCTGTCATCCCCTGGTTAGAAATTCAACCCAAAGGAAAAAGGACCAGAGCCGGATGGGCTGCTGGGCCAAGGTGCGGGCACTCAAACAGTAACGAAACCCGATGAGACCGGGAGAGCGACACGTCCCCACGGAGAGCATGACTGAAGTCGACCAGTGCCCTCCCCGCCCCAAGCGCTGTGACATCAGGTGCTGACAAACCAGCAGAACGCACACACACAGGCCCCCATCAAGTCTGGGCTGGCAACTCCTAAATTGGAAGCATTCTCCCACCACCGACAAACACGGTTTCGGCCTTGCTGGAATACTAAGACGAACTTGATCGCCATCTAGATAAGATGTTCGCTGCCAGCCAGCCGACTCTCTGGTGCCAAATGCACTCCGGAGCGCCTTATTAGTATCCTGGACTAGCACCGCTTCATCAGGGATGCTGGCATCTCACCTCCGAGGAGTGGCCAGGCCAGGCCGCAGTGTTTGGGGAGGAGTGCGGGCCAGACAGACAGCTCTGATGCATGACACCTCGCTGGGCGTCTTCTATGGAGCGGGTGTGCGGTGCTCTGAAGGCGGGCCTCCCACTTCACCGGTAAAATGGCACAGCAGCTCCATGGAGAACCCGCGGTCCCAGAGCAAGTGGCTGGGCACATGCACCAAGGCAGAGCGACTCAGAGGAGCCTGCACTTCTAATGCCCCATTAGAAACATCAGACAGAGGTGCAGAGCCCCTTCGGGAGTCTCCACTCTCTCTGACAGCCGCTCTCTGGAAGGGCTTGTTGGAAATGAATGGATGGATCCTTGGCCACAGCTTTGGCCAAATCTCTGTTTTTCTGGGGGTTTAACTTGTTCTTGTTCCATCCATACAAGGGAGGATGCTTCGGGCATCTAATTCCCTATGCTAAGTCCTCCAAATCTTTTTCAAACGGCGACATCTGCATGCCAGCTCACACACTGGGGGAAAAAAGGGGTAAAAAAAAAAAAGGGAGCCCCTGGGGGGGGTCTGGCAAATCTAGAATGAAGCGCCAGGTCCCAGGACAGGAGAGAGGCAGAACCCAGGGCCTTCCTGCTGGTACATTATCCAATAAACCTCAAGAGCTCGGTAATTACAGGCACTTTCAAAAGTGAAACAGAAATAGATCTAGGGCCAAAATGCTGGTTTGCCGGAGCAGACAAAGAACCTCTTTTAACTTGGAAACAAAACAAAACAACTAAAAAAAAAAAAAACCCACAGCCAGCTTTGGTCAGTCTTCGAAGCTGAGAAAACTAGACTAAATTTTTCCCCCCGCTATTATAAATCTGATTATGGGAGAGAGAATAGGATTCCAAGTATAATAAACCCTTCTCTCCACTAGGACACACACAAAAAATCATTTTCTGAAACGGGGGGGGGGGGGGGGGGGAAGACTGCACTCTTAAGTGCACCCCGGACAACAAAATCAGGATGAAAAAAATTGCTGCTAATTCAGGTTTCAGGGCCTGCCACTCCACCTGAGATCTCTTGGTGGAAGAGAAACCAAAGCGCCAGCCCACAGGGGGCTCTGCTCCTGTGAAGGGTCCCCGCTTCCCTGAGAAAACCAGTGCAGGTACACCTGCTAAATGCACACCATGCCCTAGGCAGCCACCATGCCCTGCCCTGCCCTTCACGTGCTAGCTCATCGGGTGCCACCGCGAGGTCCTGCTCTCCTGGAGAAAAGCTATTTGCTTTTCCAACTGGAAAAGACGTGGGGAAAAACCCGCAGCGACAGAGAGAATCACTGGCAAGACAGCAGGGCAGCCCTGGCCAGCTCGGCAGGCTGGGGCACCGCCAGGGCCCTGGCGAGGCTGGCAGGACTCTCCCTGACCGTGAACCGCGGTGCGTTATTCACTGCAGCTCAGGGCTAGCGACATCATTTCCAAATGCGTACAAAGGGTTCTTGGACCCCCACATCCTGCTTTCAGGCTGATCGAGTGGGGGGGGGGGCTGCGGGGGGAGGGTGGAGTGGATCCAGGTGCAAGGGTCTGGGGCAGGACCGGCAGTCTGGGACAAACACTGGGCTCGAGAGAGTTCGGGTGTGGGCCTGGGGGTAGTGGCCGGAATGGGGAGGGCGGGGAGGCAGCGATGCCCCGGGAGCAGGAGCCCCAGTCGTCCCTGTCCCCAGCGCCACTTTCACAAGCCGGCTGGTGTCAGAGCCGCATCCCCCCTACCCGGGGACCGGGCACTTGTTGAACAAAAGGTCTCTCGGCTCCCGCAGCCGCTGCCTTCCGCCAGGAGGGGGACCCGCGCTGGCCGGCCGCGGGAGATGGGTCGGAGCACGCCCCGCGCCGCGCGCTCCGGCACCCCCGAGGCGGCGCCGCCCCGCAGCCTAAACTTTCTCCCATCTCGACGCGTGAAGTTGGGGCGATGAGAAAGGCATCAAACACGCGCAATGCTTGTGTATGTGTGTGTGGGGGGGGGGTTCGGGGGCGGCGGCGGGTGGGAGGTGGCAGAGATGCAAGCGTCCCGCCTACACGAAAACGAAGAGGGGAAAAAATCCGCAAAGATTAAAAGGCAGCGATGCCTCCAATCCCCGTGGCGATCCCCGACTACTACGGACCAGGCACTGGGTCAAGCGCTATCTTTAGTGCGTTCTCGTTTTTTTTTTTTTAACGGTCACGACAGTCCCGGGGTGGGGGGTGGGGGTGGGGGGAAAGGGGTGGTGGTGGCGGGGAAGTGTCCCCGTTCGGGGGCAAACAATCCGAAGACACAGGCAGGTGGCGTCTGGTCCGGGTCGTGATGCGAGTGGCGGAGATGCCAAAGCTCTCAGCGCCCGGGCAAGCCGGGCTCGTCGTGGTCCCCTCGGAAGAGCGCGGGTGGCCGCCCCAGCTCGGGCCGGAGAACACGGCGCCCCACGTGGGCCGCTCGGACCTGCCCCCTCCACCCGGACGGACCAGCTCCGGGAGGGGCGGGCCACGCCCGCACCCCCACCCGCACCGGGTCCCCGCGATCCCCTGGGCTTCGGGAGCTCCGCACTGCGCCGGCCAGCGGGGACCCGTGGGGACCAGAGCGGACCCGGGATCCGCGCGCCGGGCTGACTGCACCGCCCACGCCCACTCCTCCACCCCCCAGCCGACGCACAGCAGCTCACACACACGACACCCGTACGGCATCGGTGCAGCCCCCGCCCCACCGCGCACCCCAGGAACGGCGCTCCCCGACATCACCCCAGCCCGCAAACACAGCCCGCACGGGGCACACCCCACGGGGCCCCACGCCGTGCCGGGAGCCCACCAAGCGTCCTCGGTCACGCACAACTCCACACGGCGCAGAGAAACCCAGGCAACCCCCCCGCACCCTGACACACACGCACACTCACGCGCACGCAGAAAAGCCCCGCGATCGCAGCGCGCCCAGGGCGCACTCCCCGCGCCCCCCGCGGCCCCCGCGCGCCCCGCGCGCCCCGCGCGCCCACAGCCGGCCCCTGCCCTACCTGCTCCGGCGCAGGACGCGGTCCGCCGCCGGCTCTCCGAGCTCAAGTTCGGCGCCGCCCGCAACGGGCCGCTGCCGGGGACGAGGGCGCCGAGGCCGGGAAAGGGTGCTTAGGAGCGCGGGCCTCCTCGGTGCGCCCGCAGCCGACGCGCCGGCGCTGCGCTCATCGCCGCCCAGAAGGACAAAAGGAAGCCGGGCAGCCGGGGAGCCGGCGAGGTGAGGGCGCCCGCGCGTCCGCCGCTCCGCGCGTCCTCCGCCCGCAGCCGCCGCCGCCGCCGCCAGCCCCGGGAAGGAAGGGACACGAAGGCGGGACCCGGAGGCGGGGGCGGGGGCGGGGCGCGCGGCCGGGGGCGGGCGCTCAAGTTTCCTGCCACCCGCGCCGGCCCGGCCACGCCCCCGCCACGGCCACGCCCCCGGCTGTCCAGCCGCGGGGCCGCGGGAGCCGGCGCGTCGCGGGCGCCCCGGGAACGCACCCTGCACCCCCCGCCCCCTGCCCAGGCCCTGCCCCGAGCCCCAACCCTGGCGGGGGGCTCCGAAGCCGGGGCTTGCGGTGGGCACCGGATCCGCCTCCCTCACCCTTGGCCTCTGGCCTGCGGGTGTGGGAGAGGCCGGGAGGCGGCGCCCGGGAGGGGCCGGCCGGCGCGCTCTCCGCCTCCGCGGTCCTCTGCAGGAAGTGCGGCCTGGGTGGCCCCGACCGACCGGGAAGAGGCCCGAGTCCAGGCCCCGGGGCAGCCCCGCCGCCGCGGGTCGCCTGAGCACGAACCACCCACCTGGCCGCGCCTCTCCAGGCGACAGAAACCCGATGCGCGCCGACGGAGCCCGGAGCCCCGGATCTGGCTACTCCGGCTAACTCCTTGTGCCTTGATTTCCCCAGCTCTAAAATGGGTGGGGAAGGAGGAGCGCGCCCCGGCCGACCCTTCCCTCCCTGACCTGCTCTGCGTTGCCCGTCTGTGCGCCCGGGTGGTCTTGCCTGACCCCTGGGAAGAAGGGTGCTGGTTCTTGCTGGGCGATCCACTCCCAAGGGACCTGCTGGGGAGAGCAGGGTGGAGGGACAGTACCTCCCAGAGCTACTGAAAGTCTGGGCTCAGGGGAGCAAATAAGACATACACACGCCCCCATCACTGCCACCGCCCACCTCAAACACAGGAAAGGTAACCACAGAAACAGCCACAAACGTGGAGCAGGGCCTTCGTGTTAGGCTGAGACAAATTGTCTCTCTGACGTCTCTAGGGTAAATCTCCATCCTCCGATCCTCCTCCATACAAACACGGTGAGTGAACGCCCACCTCACACAGCGGTAGAGAGAGCAGGTGGCCCAGCCCAGGGGGGTGGGGGGTGCACCAGCAGGGAGCCCGCAGGCTAAGCCGTCTAAGCCTGGATCCCCGCTCTCTGCCTGCTAGGAGCCACCCCAGAAACACGGGGAGCTGGTCCCACTTGGATTCTGCTGCAAGGAGCAGAAAAAATAAAGTGCAGGGGCCAGCGCAATAGTGCAGCAGGAAGGACACTTGTCTTGCTCACTGCTGACAGGGGTTCCATCCCCAGGAATCCTATACAGTTGCCGGAGCACTACCAGAAGTCATCCTGAGTGCAAAGCCAGGAATAATCTATGAGCATTGGCCAAGTGTGCACCCTCACAGCCCTATGCCCCCACAACTCCCGATACAAATCCCTGGGCACCCCATGTGGTCCCCTGAGCCCCACCAGGAGTGATCCCTGAGCACCGCCGGGTGTGACCCGATCCAAAGAATATGGAGTGCACGTGCCAAAGCAGGCTCAGGCTGTCTGCTAGAGCCAGCCTGGTGCTAGGGGCACCCGCTCTCCTGCCCCGTAGAGCCCAGCTCCCTGAGTTTTGCAGGGGCTTCCTGTGGCACCGTCCCAGCAGGGTGGCAGTGGCTCGGGGTTACAAGTGGAGAGGCCCCGCCCAGGTGCACCTGCCAAGTGACTCCAGATCCTGGGTCCCCTGAGTTGAGACTGATCTGGGTTACAGGGCCTGGGGAGGGGGCCCCCACAAGCAAGCATCCAGGACCCTCAGGGGATTTCCTGTCTACATCATTTCTGTCCCTGACCTTCTGGGCTCCCCCCAGGACTTCTACCAGCACCTCGAAACCCTGCCAGCAACCAGAGGAGAGAGGTAAGGGAGCCATCCTTAGGAGCCAGGTCTGGAGCCAGAGAGCACGTTTCTGCCTGTCATCACCGGCCAGAAGTGGGTCCTCGCTACACCTGGACGCTGGGACTCTGCGAATCAAACCACCTCCTCGTGTACCCAGGAGTAAGCAGTCTCTTCAGTGAGCTTGTCACCCTGTCCCTATCACACACACGAGTGCTCTTCTCTGATGCCCAGTCTCGAGGCAACAGCTGCCTACACAAAGCCCAGTAATCACCGTCGTCCCAGCCTGAGCCGTGAGCGAGTGAGCGAGTGCTGAGAACTGCCTGCCTCCTTCTGCTCCTGGGCAGCCACCTCCCAGAGGAGATGACCGTGGGGTTGGGCCTTGGAAAATGAGGAGGAGAGGGACCAGAGAGATAGTGCAGGGGTAAGGCGCTCACCCTGCTTGAGGCCAATCCCTGGCACTGATTGTGGCCCCCTAAGCACCGCCACCGGGAGGGATTCCTGAGCACAGAGTTAGGAGTAATCCCTGACTCAGGAGCACTACTGGGTCTGGCCCAACATGGCCCCCAAATAAAAAGAGAGCAGGGGAGACCCCAGCACAAGAGGGTAGAGGCTGAGGAACTCTGGGAAAGTAGACTGACATGTTTCTGAACCCACCCTTACGGGGACCCCTCCTGCGGATCTCTTATGTGGGCCTCCCCTGAACCCTTCCTGTGAATCCCTACCGTGGCCCCCTCCTGTGGGCCTCCCTTGTGAACCCCTCATGTGGGTCTCCCTGTGGACTTTGCCTATGGACCCTTCCTGTGAACCTCTTCTGGGAATCTCTAGTGTGGACTTCTCCTACAAACTGTCCTGTGGACCCTTCCATGGACCCCCTTCAACGGACCTCTCCTGTGGACCCTGCCTGTGGGCCTTGTTGCCTATACCCAGGCTGTTTCCTCATGGAGCCTGGCTTCCCTTTTCTCCCCACCAATCTGGAACTTTCTGAGTCCTCCCACACACCTGTGGCAAGGTCAGCTCTGGCCAGCCCTCCCTCTGCCGGCACTTCTCCCTTCCAGGAGCTTCTGAGGGAGGCGTGACTCTCCCTTGGTGACTACAGCCCAGTTTCTTCTCTGTACCCTGAGCCCCCAGGACAGGCCTGCCGGGGGAGCCTGGTGGAGAGCGTTCGGTAGTCTGCACTTCCCGATGTTAAAGACCAGAGCAGGTCAGACAGTGAGCTCGGGAGGGTGGTCTCAGCTCTGGAGGCCAAAGTTCAAGACCAAGTTGTCAGAGGGCCAGTTCCTCCTGCGAGCTGTGAGGGGGTGGGGATCTGTTCCAGGCTCCACTTCTGCAGCCTAGGGTGAGGCTTGACAACTCTCTTCTCTGTGTCCCTATGTCATCTTCCCTCTCTGTCACATGTCCTCATGTCCCAGCTTCCCCTTTTATGAGGACACACAGTCGTACTGCATGTCAGCGGGAAAGGGGATTTTTCCTGCACCGGTGGGCTCCCTGAGAATTGTGTGAAAGATTTGCATACGAAACTCGGTAGATGAAAAGTGAGATTATTATATGAATAAAGGTAGATGGGTCCGGGTCCCTCCCCAGATGTCCAGGCCTCTCTTTTACCCATGAATAATGGCCAGCTCCTGTCCCTGTGTGGCTCTCTATCCCGTGTACACTTTCCTCCATCTCCAGTCTCAGCCGCCCACGTGTGCAAGATACCCCTTGGCTGGGCTTCTCAGCTGTACCCCAGCAGTTCCTGTTGTCCCGCCCGGCTTCCCTACTCTCCGACCACAGTCACATGCACGTGGGTGAGAGTCCTGTGCTCAGCACCATATCCCTTCCTGGGCATCTGAGTCCTGTCTGTATTTTGCTCCTGTCTGGCCCTGAGCAGCCCCCCCTGTAGTAGGCCCTGTCCAGGCTTGAGTCACCCTACCTGTCCCGGGGGTCCGGGAAGAAAGAAGAGGGTCCAGGGAATAAGTGGTCAAAGAAGAGGGGAGCTGGGTAGGGGCTTCCTTGCCAAATCTTGCCTCCAGCTATCCCATTCCCCATTCTGATGGGTTGCCTGTTCACCAGGTGGAGATATTTTTTTTTCTTTTTGGGTCACACCCGGCAATGCACAGGGGTTACTCCTGGCTCAGTGCTCAGGAATCACCCCTGGCAGTGCTCAGGGGACCATACGGGATGCTGGGAATCGAACCTGGGTTGGCGGCATGCAAGGCAAACCCCATTCGCACTGTGCTATCGCTCCAGCCCCAACTGGGAGGAGATTTAAAGTGACCTGATGCACTACATCTCAGCTCCTGCTGTAGCAATACAGGAACCGAGCCCGCCTGGATGACCTCATCACAACCTGCTACGCTGAGAAGGCACCCTTTCTCAATGAGGTGGCCTTCCCAGGTACCAGTGGTTAGGGGACTGCAGCATCTTTGGGGGACCACTCACCCCAGATGTGGTCTATTTCGTTGTGGAATCGTCCACCGGGAGACTCCCATGTCCAACGTTTAGATTCTGCCTTCTGGAACTGTGAGTTACCATGGATGGTCTTGGTCGACATGATGAACTCAGACAGTCTCTCACCCTGTTCGTTCCATTCTAGGCCATGGGTCCCAATGTGAAGTTCTTCAGCTGATCTTCTCAGTCCTATCTTGGCATTAAAATCACTCACAATGATCTTGTAGAAGGTGTGGTCTTCTTTATAGAACTTCTCCAGCTCCATGTAGAACTTCTTGATTTCTCTTTCATCATAATGAGATGTTGGTGCGTAGACAACGAAGATAGAAACTGCAGGCAGTGAGCCACATCTATTCAAATGTAAACGTCCGATTCGGGTTGTTAGGCATTCAAATGAATCAATGCTCTTGGCCAAGTTTGTGTTGACAAGGACACCGCCTCCAACACCTCTTTTATCGCATGTTCCGAGGAACAATTCTTCTCCAGTGTCAAAAACGGCATGGTGAGATTCGTGCCTTCTTGTCTCAGTCAGACCGATGATGTCGTACTTGATCATTCGCGCTTGTACCATCAGGTCCTCGATGGATGCATCTGATGCTAGCGTACATGCATTGAAAGTACAGACGATCATTTTTGTCTTCCTTCGTTGTGGCAGCCTAATTCGGCCTTGAGATTTTGTCGGCCTCTCCTTTCTCATCCTTCTCAGTGCTGCCATGTCGGTGAAGCCTTCAGGGTCAGGTGAA